CGGGCAGAGGCCGAGGAAGCTGCCAAGGCGGCGGCAGAGGCGCAGCGTTACCGCGACCGGGCGGCAGAGCGGCGAGCGCGGGCAGCCGCCGATGAGGAGGCCGCCGAGGTTGACGAGGCCGAGGCTGCCGCCCGCCGTGCTCACGAGGCTGCGCTAAGAGCGACCGGCGAAGAGCGCCAGCGGCTGATCGAGGCCACCAAGTTCCTCGGCGGCGACGAGGCCCACTCGCACCTGGTTCTCGGACTGGACCTGGCCCTCGCCCGCCGCAACCGCGAGCGGCTCGAGGCCGAGGCTGCTGCAGCCGCCGCCGCCGAGCCCACGCCCACAGACAGCACTCTCGTCTCGGCAGGCGCTGCGCCTCTGCCGCCGCCGCCGGCAGCCTCGCTCTTGACTTGGGTTGCTGATCGGGCAGTGACTGCGCCGCCGCCGTCGCGGCCGCTCTTCCGGGGTTCGCTCGTCTTTACGGTCGATCCCGACGCCGGCAGCGCGGTCCGTTTGCACAGGCTGGACGCTGCGCCGCCGCCACGGCCAGAGCTGGCCACCGTCCCGGTCCTTCCGCCGGATGTCCTTGCCCGTTTGGCCGCACTGTCGCTGGCCTCGGGCGCTGACGCGAAGCGCGACAAGATCCTCGCCCGCAAGACCCGCAAGACGGCGCGGGCCCGCGAGCTGGACACCTTTACGCCAACCAAGCCGACGCTCACCTTTCACGGAGGACTGGTTGTCTTTACGCCACTGCCGCGCCGCCGACAGGGCGGTGCGGGCCAGGGCCGGCCGGCTATTGACATGTTTGCCGGCCTCCCAGTCGCCATCGACGAGCCGCCGGCCGAGTTCGAGCCGGAGCGCACCCGTAAGCGCAAACGCAAGCGGCGGCGGCGGCGGCGGCACGAAGATGGTGCCAACCAAGGCCCAGGCCCAGGCCCAGGCCCAGGCTCGGACTCGGACTCGGGCTCGGGCGGTGGGAGCAGAAGAGGCAAGCGAGTTAAACAATGAGGAGGAAGCGGCGGACCTGCGAGGCCGGAACACGGATCGAGATGAAGCACAGGAGCCAGCAGGCATCATCACCTTCTCCCTGCCTCAGAAAGTGCCACTCGGCGTTGTCTGTCTGAATAGCCACCGTGTTGTTTGCCGTCGTCGGCTCCTTGCCCTCCAGCAGATACCCATAGAACGTCGAGTCGGCGATCTACATGGAGCGAGGCGTGCGGGTGCGGGAAGAGGGTAGGAGGGGAGGGGAGGGGAATGGGTGAGTGTGCGGGGTAGGGTGTGTGGAAGGAGAGGGAAGGAGGAGGGGGCGGGGGGCGGGGGGCGGTACGGCATACCTTGTAGCGGACAGTCTGTGTCCCCACCGAGTTCTCTAGGCAGAAGGAGACCCGGATGACGTCGGTCTTCTTGGTGGGCGACGGCGGGAGGTCCGAGGTGTAGATACAGATCTGGAGGGGATACTGCTCCTGCGCCATCTTGCGAACACGCACGTCAAAGAAGGCATGCTCTCCGAGGTTGTTGAACTGTGCCTTGCCAGACCAAAGTAAGGCGACGTCGCCATGTCCGTCCCTCCCTCGCTCAAAGCCACGTGTGCGCCTCTCCCGCTCCTGCCTCGCCTGCAACTGGCTGCCAATGCCAATGTCCAATTTGCAGAGGCAGCTAGCTGAAACGGCTCCTCGTCGCCCTAGCCCTGCGCAGAGCCAGAAAGCACTCGATTCCGCCGCTAAAGATCAGGCAACGGAATCAAGCAGAGGGGTCATGGTAGGAGGAGGGGTTAGCGTGGTGCGTCAAAGGGTAGATGCGCTAGAGAAGGGAAAAGGGATGGAGAGGCATCGTTTGACCTCAGCATAACTTGGATCATTGATCGGAAATAGTTTCAGCAAAGTCGTCGTAGGCTGGCCCATCATCGACATAGCTGCCGTCAGAGGTCGATAGACCGGAATCACGCCCCCCCCCCTCTGTTCCCGCCGCACCCGTTCCTTGAAGGCCGGGCCACGCCGTTTGGATCCGTCTTCTGATGTTTTCCAGAGGGGATGCCCATGTCCAGGCGTAGAATGAGGCTCGCCAGGAACCCCGTTCGACGTTTGGCCGGTCGGTGGACACTCTAGTCTACATCAACCAACCTAAGTTGATTCACACACACCCCACCTCGATCATTACATCAACCTCCTTCCCTCCCCCCCCCTCCCCCCCCTTCCCCTGTTTATGCTGTCAAATCGCGCCCTCATCGCCCTCGTCATCTCTTGCCTGATCAACCCCGCCTGATCACCGTCCCACACCTGCTGTCGCTTCCGCACGCCCTCCCCTTCCCCCGCCCCCCCCCCC